CACACTTCTGCTTCCAGTAATAAAAGCCCAAAGTAAATAGGACCAATTCTCTTTAAAAAGTTGGACAAAATGGTTTTTTTAAGTTTATTTATTTTGAGGGAGAAAGAGAGAGTACCAGTGGGGGAGGGTCAGAGAGAGAGGGGGACAGAGGATCCAAAGCAGGCTCTCTGCTGACAGCAGTGAGACTGATATGGGGCTCTAACTCACAAACTGAGTGAGCATGCCCTGAGCCAAAGTCGGAGGCTTAATCAACTGAACCACCCAGGTGCCCTGGACAAAATATTTTTAAAATCTCCTTGAAGGCATTGAGTGCTGACAAGATGGGCAGGACAAGATGGGTGGGGTCAAGATCCCGGGGTCAAAAGAGGCTCAGGAAAATAAGTTCAGTTTGGGGGTCAGCTTTTTCTCATGGGGTCATATGCCAATCCTTGAGGGGATCACCGAGATGCTGAGAACCTTATCAGCACTCTGATAGTCTCATGGGGTTTGAATTGGCAACCAAAAGGCTACACTCCAGGAGTAAAATAAACTGGAAGGAGGCACTCAGAGGACATCTCACTTTTAAATCACGTCAACCCGTGAAATTGAAATAGATTATTTTGGAGTGGTGATACCCTCAGACATAAAACAACAACAATAATGAAAAACGGACATAAATACTCTCTGAAGCAGATATCATCATCCTGGTCCTCCAATTATTTCTATAATTCTGCAAATGTAATGTCTGCCATACTAAAAATAATCAGACACCTGGCAAGATAAGACATCCTGAATGACAAGTAACAATCAGCAATAGAAATAGGCTTACTAAGGCACAGACTTACATCGCTGTAACTGTTATATTCACACAGATAAAGGCTAAGGTTGAATTTTAGTGCAGGATCGTAAACTATAAAAAATGAAAATTCTAAGCTTGAAAAATATAATAAACAAAATTAAGGACTCAGTGGGTGAGTTTCCCACAGACTAAACACAGATGAAGAGATAATAGGAAGCTGGGTACAGATCAGGAGAAAATATCAATCTGGAAGCACAGAGGGACAAAGGGATGGAAAATAAAGACACGGTACGAAATTGTCATACATGTAATTTTACGTTCCTGATGTAAAGGCTAGAGAAGGTGGAAGAGAAGTAATATTTGAAGAAGCAATGGCTGAGAATCTTCCAAAACTGAAGAAAAAAATCAATATGTAGATTTAACAAGCTCTATGAATCCCAGGTAGGATAAGTACAAAGAAAATAGCACGTAAACACATCCTAGTAAAACTGCCAAAAAAAGGAGAGATAAAGAGAAAAATCATGCAAGCAAGCAGATGGGGAGGGGACAGGAGGTACGCTCCAAAAGAGTATAACTGGAATACAGATGTCAAAATAATAGAAGCCAGATGTCTTTGTTTTCTATTGCCGTATAACCATTTGCCACCAACTTAGTGGCTAAAACAATACTTGTTTATTATTTCAGTTACCATAGGCCAGAAGACCTGGCATGGGTTACCTGGACCCTCTTCTCATCACAAACCTGAAATCAAGGTGTTGGCCAGCCTTCTAATCTAGAGGCTCTGGGGAAGAATCCACTTCCAACCTTATTCTGATCCTTAGCAGGATTCAATTCCTTATGGCTGTAGAACTGAGATCCCTGTGTTTTGCTGTCAGCAGGGAGCCATTCTGAAATACTACAGGCCATCCATGTTCACTGCTGTCTCGTCCCCTCCATCTCCAAATCCAGCAAGAAAGAATCTTCCTCACATCAAATCCTTCTCCCACTTGGACTTCTTTTTTTAGGAAGAGTCCCAGCCTTTTTCAGGCCCACCTGCATATCCCAGGCACACTGAGGATAGTCCCCCTATTTAAGGTCAACTGATTTGGGACCGTAATTACATCTGCAAAATCCCTTCCCAAACTATCTAGTCTTTGACTAACTGGAAGAAGGTGTGTGTACAGTAGCTGGTGGGATCTTGGGGGCCACCTCAGAATTCTGTGTATGACACGAGAGTACCCAAGAATTGTATATTTAATGCACTGAAAAAAAGTGTCATCTTAGAATTCTATAGGTAGGGAAAATACATTTCAAGACTAAAGGCAATATAAAGACATTTTTAGACTAGCAAAACCTCAAAGAACTTGTCAGCAGACCTACACCAAAAAGGACAGTGATATGCAATGGAAGGTCAAAGAAGCATAAAGGAAAGAAGTACAAAGGAAGAGGTAAATATGTAGGCAAACTTAAATAAATATTAAATGTATAAAGGAAGATAATATCTGGAGGGATTTGAAATGAAATTAACATACATGGTAACAATGACACAAAAGACTCAGTAGTAAAAATTTTTTAAGTCAAAGGTGTATGGTGAAATACCTAAGGCAAGGTTTGGCCAAGTTTTTCTATAACTAGCCAGATGGGAAATACTTTAGACATTGTGAAAGAAACTTTGAGAACACTACACATGGTCTGTGTTGCAACTACTCAACTCCACCATTGCGGCAGGAAAGCAGGCATAGAAAGTATGTAAATGAGTGAACGTGGCTGTGTGCCAATAAAACTTTATTTATAGATGATCAAATGTGAATTTCATTTAATTGTCACATGTCATGTAATATTATTCTTACTCACAAGCTATCCAAAAACAGGCGATGGGCTGGATTTTCCCCATGCCCTATAGTTTGAAGGCTGCTTCTCTCGGTTATCTGTTAAAAGAAGTGCTTAAAAGTATATAATCTACAAGCTAACAAAGGGGAAAATGGAACAATAAAAAAATTCTCAATCAATCCAAAAGGAAGAAGAGAGAGAAAAGAGAACATGAATCAGATGGGACAAATCACACTGAGTAAGATGGTAGGCCTAAACCGAAATATATTTGTAAGTGACATGAACTAGAAGGGGACTGAATGGCCCAATTAAAAGGGAAAGACTGTCATACCAGCAAACAGGAAGAGCCCAATGATGAGGGACATGCATCAATTATGAGTTCCTAACAAGGATGAAAATAGAAGATGTACCGTTCAAACACTACAGAAAGAAAGCTGTGTTCGTGTTAGGTAAGGCACACTTTAAAGCAAAAAGCATCACAAATGATAAAGGGAGACATTGCATAATATTCTTTTTCAAGTCATCAGGAAGATATAACTGTGAGTAATTTGCATGTACCTAGTAGGATAAACTCATAAAATATAAAGCAAAATTTGACAGGCCCCAGCAAAAGATTAATCCACAGTTGTGGGGGAGAAATTAATGTAAGTCTTTTGGTCACCAGTAGAACACGCGGATAATAAATGCAGTAAAGATTTGGAAGACTTCACAACATCATCAGAAACTAGGACGGATGGACAGGTGTAGGACATTGCATGGAGAAACTACAGGGTGCATATTCTTTCAAGCACACACAAAACATTTCCCCAAATGGGCGTTAAGCTGTACCATGAAGCAAATAATTATAACCATATACTGTGTCCTCTGATCATAACGCAATAAAGATATAAATCTATAAATCAATTACAAAGTAGCTATGAGGTTGTCATGTGTGAACATGTAAAGATGCCCTTCTAAAGAACCCATAGATGAAAGAAGTCCCAGTAGGAATTACAAATCATTTTGAATTGTACAATAATTAAAAATTGCACACAGAGTTTGTAAGATAAAGCGAATGCTCTGCTCAGTGAATTTCATATTCCCAGAGATATGATCAAAAACCAAGAGAATTGGGGAAAAAAATCAATGGATGAAATGTACACCTCAAGAGGTTATTTTTTTAAGAACAAAAAACTACAAGAATAAAAATTAAAACTACAAAAGCATGACATATAGAAAGAAGTATGTATAGGTAAGTGGACACGCGTGGGTTACACAAACGTGATTATTTCCTTGCTCTGTCAGTTAAGAGGACTTAGAGGCTACCATACCCCAGGAGCAACAGGCACATGTAGCCCCCAGATCTTGGTTTCCAATACCATTCTCTAATAAAAGGAACCAGGGCTCCTGGGGACATGCTAATCTGAGCGCTGAGGCGAATATAGAAGATGAGCCCGGAACATCTTATAATGCCAAAATGTAAGGAAGGGCTAAAAAACCGAAATCCAGAATGATGTCAAAGGGACACAAGAGCCAGCCGAAAGAGCTTTTAGTGGCCAGGGCATGGAACAACAAAATAAAGGAACATCAGATTGTAACCCAAAGCATAAAATAAATATCCATGAGTCCTTACTGATATAAATGGTTGAATAAATAAATGGGAGGCAATAGACACATCTGCCATGTAGAAGAATTTTGGATAATTTAAGCAGTTGCTCGACCTTCAGGGAACATAATTCTTCATAGAGTGTGGAAAGTGACCTCACGGCGGAGGAATCTGATAAACATTCCCTGAGACATGCGATCAAGGTCATTGTCAACAGTGGTAAGTCTCGTTGATAGTTTGCACCTTTGACATCATGCAATGAAAGTGACACTTTGCCTCTGTGGTCTTCATGTTGTGATGCTCCCCCCCCCCGGCCCGGGGGACTTCCAGAGCGCCTAGAAAAGAGAAGAGGGGACATCGAGATTTATCCCTGCTCTTCAATACCTCCGACTGGAACAGACACCTGCTCCTCTTAGAGCCCATTGGTCAGATATAGTCACATGGTCTCAACGTAACTACCCAAGACATGGAAACTCCCTGGGAGCTTGTGGAGAATTTGGTGCTTCTGCATCCTAGGGCTTGGGAGCAGAAGTGAATCTTATGTGTGACCATCTTATAAAACAGGCACATTCAAGCCAAATACAAGAAGCTTAAATATTTAGGCCTTCTCGTCTCTCTTGGGCATAGTACTAAATCAGCCTGATAGATTTCTTTAATCCACCAGCCTGCAAAATTTTTGCCTCTTTCTCACTTCATAACGTCCTGGCAGTGATATATGTCTTACCACCAAGTAATGCTCGCCTGCAGGGGTATATTACTAATGATGTCATTTGGAGCTTACATTTTTATTCAAATTCTTACAGATCTATGTTCTGCTATTTTTTTCAGAGAGATCCTGATAATTTTGAAATAGGATTGATCTTCTTTGAAATGAAAATCCAATTTTAAAACTGACTGAAGGCCGATCCTAAAATAAAGAATGTGTATCGTCAATCAGCACATAGCAAACAGCACTACTGTATTTCTGTAAGTTGCATTTTTAAAAATATTGGAGAGCCACAGGTAGCTGAATGTTTAGTGTTTCAGCACCTTTTGAAAAAGGATTGGCCTTCTTCCTTCCTTCCCTGTCTTTACATGTCTCTTCTAGAATAATTCAGGCCAAAAGCCATCGGGGCTGGGGACCCACAAAAGGAAGGTGAGCCAGGAGTATCCGGTGCCTTTCCAGAGAGGGTCTGAGGACCATGTGAAGAAGGTGAATTGGTGGCCCCCTGGGGGGGAGGGAGGTGGTCCACGTGAGGAAGACCTAAGGCCTAGAACCTCAGCTCTGCTTTCACCAGCTGCATGGCTGTGAGCAAGACACTTTTTCTGAGGCGCAGCTTCTCTGTCAATAAACTAAGTGACTGGCCTACACTCTCTTGTACATCTAATACAACACTGTCTGTTACCTAACCAGAATTTAAAAAAAAAAAAAACTTTTAAAAATACAAGCTAAAAAAATAAGTAAAAGTAATTTAAGGACTGTTTGTTGGGGGAAAAAAATGAGGGGCTGACCTAGATCTGTGACTTTCACACTGGTGAAAGTGTGGCCCCTGAGGAACCCCAGAGGGCATCAGAGGGAAGCCCAGGGCAGGATTTCTGGCCCCCGAAGCCCTTTCATGGCGAAGAAGCTCCTTTGTTCTGTGTTCTATGATTCAGATGGGTCCCAACACGTGATTTTGTTTGACAGAAGCTCCCCTTGCTAAAGAAAATAAATAAGATACATAGAATTTGAAAACTTACATTAAAAAAACAAACTAGTTGGCACAGTCATTCTGTCTCTGGGGCTTTTGCTGTGATGATTTACTGGAATCTGTCAACACTAAGTGAGCACTCCAGAGACCTACGTAGGAAGGCAGAAGTGCCTCAGACACTGAGCAGAGGGTGTCCGTCCACGCGCTGGGAAAAGCATAGACTGGTCTACTAGGTTCACTACAGATCTGCGTCAATACCCTAGACTTTCACACCCACATAAGCAAACACTATTGACCTCCATAAAGGAAGGTGACAAAGGAGAGCAAATGAATTTAGTGAAAGCCAGTGACAGGCGGAAGGAAAGTCAAATGAGTCGCCCAGAGCATCAAGACACTGCCAGCCTCCTAAGAACGTGACATCTGCACGTGTGGACACACATACACACATACACACAGGCACACACTATTGCACGCAGAGCAGTTAAAAGCAGCAGTTATTGGAGCGCCTGGGTGGTTCAGTTGGTTCAGCGACCAACTCCTGATTTTGGCTCAGGTCATGATCCCCGGGCCACGGGATTGAGCCCCATGTTGGGCTTGTACTGAGTGTGGAGCCTGTTTAAGATTCTCTCTCTCTCTCTCTCTCTCTCTCTCTCTCTCTCTCTCTTTCCCTCTGCCCCTCTCCCCCAACCCGCACTCTCTCTTTTAAAAAATTTTTTTAAAGTTTATTTATTTTTGAGAAAGACAGAGACAGTGTGGGTGGGGGAGGGGCAGAGTGAAAAGGAGAAAGAGAGAGAGAGAGAGAGAGAGAGAGAGAGAGAGAGAGAGAGAATCCCAAGCAGGCTCCAGGCCGCCAGCACAGAGCCCGACACGGGGCTCAAACTCATGAAACCATGAGATCACGACCTGATCTGAGACCAAGAGTCAGACGCCTAGCTGACTGAGCCACCCAGGCATGTCCCCCCTTCTCTCTCAAAAAAATAAAAATAAAAATAAAAATAAGTAAATAAAAAGCAGCAGTTACTGATATGAACCTAGTTGAAAGTTTCAGACAAAAAAAAAAAACACCATTAGAATTCAAGATGTTCGTGGTTGGAAGTCTAATCAATCACAAAGTTGTAGCCGTTAGAAATGAAATAAAAGAGTCAAGAGCTTCTTTAAGGTATCACTTGTGCTGAGGTTCCAGAGGCCACAGGACGCACCTACAGCCACATGGCTCCTGTTGTAATTGGCTGATGTGGGAATAGAGACCAGGGGTCCTGTCTTCCAGCTTGACGGCCTCTTGACTGTGCCACCGCCACCCTAAGAAGGCTCATGGAGTGGCACCAAAGGACCATTTAATGAACTTGGGGGTGAAGGGCTGTGCTGACCTAACAAGTCAAAGTCATAGGCAAACAGTGGCCTATGCCCAAGTGTCTCTTTATTTTTCTCACTGTCAAATAAGAAATCCAGACTTAGGCAAGGAGAGACTTGATTCGAAAAGATTATTGCAAAGCGGAGGGGCTAGTGCAGAAGGGAGCTATTGCAGCCACAAGACCTCTGACCAGGAGATCTCCAAGCATCACGGGGATCAGCCAGTAAAGGGTTTCCCTTTCTAGGGAGAAGTAAGCAAGTCTAGAAAGGGCGAGGTGTGGGGCAGTGGGGCAGATCAGAGGTCAGCCTGTTCCTCCGGAGGGGCCATTATGGAGACCCCTTAACAAGGGGGTCAGTCGTGACTCAGATCTAAGCCCTATGGAGAGGGAAGTTTCCATGCAGTAAGCCCGTTCCAGAACACAAAGGACTGGGGGGATTTCTTAACCGTTGCTGTTTTCCGGGATCACAGGACTCAGGTACAGTCAATGTTGTCAGAGCCAGGTGACGCATTCACTGGCGTCATCTAATGGCCAACCTCTTTTTCCCACCCCACAGCCCTCTCTGAAAAGTGTTTAAGAAGAAGGATATATTTTGCAAGACTCCTCTTATTGAACCAAGTCTAGAAGTGAGTCAGGTGGCTGTCACATCCGTCCCAACTACCAGGACAGAATACTGATTTCAAAATATTGAGTCCCAAGCCGCCCTGTCCACCATTGCTTTCAATTGGCTATTTTAAAATCCTTTTTTTTTTTTTTTCAGGCTGCCCTTTTCTGACCTCTGAATAAAGACTATACCATGACAAAGCTAGGGGTAGAGTTGCCTAAATCCTGTCCCACAGAAGGCCAATTCTATGGGACCTAAGTAGTTAGTCATCACCCAGGTACTGGCTGGCGTCTAACTTCCAAATATTTTTACTTGTTTTAAATCCCCGATTTCACAACATTTATGAGCCCTGATACCTCCCCTCTCCCAATTTTTGCAAATTCTCAGGGACTTCTGCCTCATGGACATTTGTCCCTCCCCAAACTACCTGGGCTCAAAGCTCCGTGTTTTCAAGTTTCCCATAAAAGCCTCGCTTGCATGATGCATTTGTGCTGGCCTAGTGATTTTCATGAACACTGAGGGGGGACAACACAAATCACACAATCTTCTCACACTTGGTGCTTTTCACTTTGAGGAAACAGTTTGTTTCACACCCAGATCTCTGTTTATTTTTGTTTACTTTTCAGTGAAAAGTACTTGAGGGGCGCCTGGGTGGCTTAGTTGGTTAAGTATCTGACTTCAGCTCAGGTCATGATCTTGTGGTTCATGGGTTTGAGCCCCACATCAGGCTCTGTGCTCACAGCTCAGAGCCTGGAGCTTGCTTTGGATTCTGTCTCTCTCTCTCTCTCTCTGCCCCTCCCCTGCTCATGCACTGTCTCTCTCAAAAATAGACCTTTAAAAAAAAAAAAGCACTTGATAGCTCATTTTTCTAAACAATTTGTGGACATACCAGCTTTACTGGGAGTTAGATTAAACATGGCTAACTAATTGCACACATTTCCAAATAGACACTAAAGCTTTGCCTTTCCAAATGGTCCAGACCAGCAGCATGGGTATCACTTGGGATCTGACACAAGCACAGATTCTCAGCTACAGCCCAGCACTATGCAATCAGAAACAGCATGGTAACAATATCTCCAGGTGACTACAGATACAATAGTAAGTTTGAAAAGTGCTTGTCTAGAGTATGAGGTAATTCGGTCCCTTGTACCTGGTGTAGTGGGTTGAACTGTGCCCCCCCCCCCCACCAAATTCATGTTCACCTGGAACCTCAGAATGTTCCTTTCTTTGGAATAAGGGTGTTTGCAGATATAATTAAAAATCTTTTTTTAAAAAAAAATTTTAGTGTTTATTCTGAGAGAGAGACAGAGAGACAGAGAGAGAAAGAGACAGCATGAGTGGAAGGACAGAGAGGGAGACACAGAATCTGAAGCAGGCTCCAGGCTCTGAGCTGTCAGCACAGAGCCCGATGTGGGGCTCAAATTCAGGAACTGATGAAGCGATGGATGTCTTTATAAGAGGAAGGTAAGGCACCCCTGAGATGCAGAGCCATGTGGGAGATTGCCACGGCAGGTGGAGACTGCAGTCGTGACCGGCACACCAAGGACCAAGGATTGCTGATGGCCACCAGAAGTTAGCAGGGAGCCACGAAACTGAGCCTCCCTCTGAAAGCAGCCAGGTATACAGACACCTTGCTTCTGGACATCTCTCCTCCAGAACCATGAGAGGGAAAACTTCTGTTGTTTTAAGCCACCTAGTTTGTTGTCTTTTGTTACCAGTAGCCACAGGAAACCAGTACCCTGGGTGAAACCTAGGGTTTAGTTGTATGTCCCCATCAATTTTCTTTCCCCTGGGTGACATCGGTCGCCATTCTCTTCATCAGTCCTGAGCTGGTGCAAGCTCTGGGGTCTCGTGTGTGCCAGGCTCGTCACATACTCTCTCGCCCAACTTGACCACTAGCCTTCTCTCCTAGAGCCTCTTCCACTCTGACACCTGTACTTTGTTTCTCTTCTGTCCCCTTGGCTCTTGGGTTCCGTCTCTCCCTGTGCTTCTGTGTTCTCTACCAGCCAGCTCTTACCTTCCCTGGATCTCTGTGTGGGTCAGCTAGAATCTACCCCAGCCTGCATTCTTTCTAATTTAGCTAACTTGGGTAATTCTTGTTTGACAGAACTTCATTTGTTGCTTTTATGGATTAGAGTATTTATCAGTCCTCTAGAAAGTCTTTCCAAGTAGACTGGAAAGTACTGGACACGGGGCAATTCCTTGGCATAATTCCCTTTATATTCTCACCTCCTGAATTTGGGTCAGAGAGAGGGGATCCTTTCTTTCTGGCACTTTCTGCTCCTTCAAGTACTTCTAGGTTGGTCAAATTCACTCCCAAGATTAAGCAACGGAATA